GGAAAAATTGGTTTTGGCTAGCTTTCCTTTGCGTGTTGTCAAATTTGCATGTACTAGCCAAGCTGAGGAAAACACCCAGTCAGAGGAAATGGTGGTCTTGCACTTTGTGTCGCGGACCTCAAGCAATAGTTTTCCCTCCCTGGCAAAAATCCATTGTGCTTGCTGAGCTGGCTCTTGATCTTTGTGCGAACAACCAAACTTATTGCTGGTGAACAAACTACACGAACAAAAATTGTGTGAACCACAAAAGACCCACTGCAATCGCTCCAGTTCCACTAGCCAGAGCCTTCTCGCGCGCAGGTGGACACGTGGCTTCAGCTTTGGTCGCCCCTGGCTGGCCAGCGTGTTGGCTGGCTGGGGGCGTTAGGGCACAACGACGTCACCATAATTTCGTAATTTCGACGACGTCACTAAATTCAGTTTTTGAATTTAACGAAATTAACCGACGACCCAGGAATTATTTTATATTGCCCAGATTCAATCACTGACTTGGAACTTGTTGATGACCCCTGCCAAAAACACCGGTTTGCTGGAGGAGACATCCTCACCTGTCCTAAGGCTTGGACTGGAATCAAATATGGGCCTTCTATGGCTTCGTGATCATCCTCTCTGCTCCTTTGTCCGCCATTTTCAGGTCACATTCGTCCCTGTCCACTGTCCACCCCGTGTGGATGCACTGGATGTCAACCAACACTCCGATTCTCGAAGCCCACAGAGATGGGTGTGGAAACCCACATGGCTGATTTCTCATGCCTGGCCAGCTTTGAGGCGCGCTTTCGCAAGAGGGTCGAAATGCAAGTGACTAAGTCGATGACTATAGGGTATCACTATCTCCCCAAAAAGCTGCTGATTCTGCTGACCGAGGTGACCGTCCTTTTGTTTCTGCCTCATCGCGTCTCCTGGCCGGAGGGTTGCTTCAGGCGGTGTGTGTGCGTGTTCTTTGGACGGAGACCGAGGGCAGTGCAGTTTTGAGAGACACCCAGGCGAGATGGCAAAACGTGAGTCGTTGGGATTTGATGATTTGACGGAAGATTCCGCGAACAGGTTCCAGACCAACCCTCAACATTCAGGTTTCGTGTTTCTGTGGCCAAGCATGTGCTGTTTGATTCGCGATCACGGGCCCAGGTCATCATGCCCTGTGCCATCTACCTGAACTTCCTGCAGGGGCGATGGCTGGTTGCCTGGCGCCGCTCGGGCCGGAGCTTTGTTGGTTTGTTCAATTTGTGGGGACATCCGCAAGCACTGGGTTTCAGTAGTACACGTGAATGGATTAGGAATAGGGATGATTTTAGAGTATTTTAGAGTACATTGTCGACCCGTAAAGGAACATACAATTTCAGCCATACTTTCTTGGTCCAATGCTTTGGCCCATACATCATCATACATCAAGGTTTCATAAGGTTTATTTTCAAAACAACAGTTACTTTGGAAGTCCACTAAGGCCTGCAAATGACCTTTCTGTCTAGGTGCTGCGGATAGACAGATAGATATTTTGTGGCCCTACATATGCAGTTTAGCTTTAGTTGGTTGCGCATTTCTAACCATCCTCTTGCAGAGTAAGTGTTGGAGCGATCCTGCCACAACCGGGGGCCTTGATCTCTACATTCATGTTGCATATACCTGTATTCCATTCGGATTTCGTCTTCCCACAAAGCCTGAATTTGAAAACGGCAGCCGTTGATCTGCCTTCAGAGATTCACCGTGCATGCTTTTTTGTTTTTTACGTAGAAAACATGCTGCAGATGCATTTGAGCTACCTGACCTCCAAGGACGGATCCTTTTTGGGGGGGAAATGCGATGCTGGTGGGACGGTCACGTTGGCCCCAGGTGCCGTGCGCCGGTTGCCCAAGCTGCCCGGGGATCGAGACGATTCCTGGCACTACACCTACAAGCCGTCAGGAGCGGAGCGAGACGGAGCCGAGTTCCGATGTTCCCTCCAATCGGTGAAGAATGCAACCAGTTCAATACCTCCAACCCAATAGCGATGGCCTCCAACCTAGTAGCGAACATAACGCAAAAAAAACTGAAAGTTCCAGAAGTTCAGCATCCGAGATGCTGTGGGCAGGATCGTCCAGACGGGAGAAGATTAGAAGACATACCTACAAAACGAGGGTCTTGAAATGGAATTTATTTTGTGTGTGTGTCCCGTTTAGGGATAATGTTTTAAGGATCTGTAAGGGAGGTGTTTGGGTGGTGAACCAGAAGAAGCTGAAAGTTTGGTCATTTTTAATAGAACATCCTTCATGAACATACTATTTTGGATCAAGCACTCGTTGGATAGGGGCCCAAAGATAGTTAGCCAGTCCGAGAAAATCACATCAAAGTATGAACTATGTGCAGCTTGCACAGGTATATTATGGTATATATTTTGATAGATTTGCTGACTTACACTTATTCACTTAGAATGAGTGTCGTAGGAACAACCATGGAAACCCGTTTGACGCTCGAATCTCCTACGCTCGTTGCTTCCAAGTAGAAAACCTGGCAAAGAATAGCATCTATATTATATGTTCATCCAAACAGACATAGGTACGAATAGGATGAACTTTCCAGCACGTGGGCTGGAGGTGCCATTCGAACAACATCAGACTTCCCAAGCAGTTGATGGCATGTTTTGTCCATCAATGTGGGCGAGCAAAACAATGCTTCCCGAAGCCATCATGCCTAAGCATTCCCAGTGCCTAAGCTGTTCCCGTGTGATTTTCGGGTCGTCCCTTCCTTTTGCCGTCTTGCCGACATGACCTTTGGTCTGTCAGGGTACATCTGATCTGCTCCACACCACGTCCGGGTTCAGAGTTACGTCCTCGGGGTGTTTCTTGTGCTGCCCGACGCGCGGCTCCGAAGAGCCGCTCTTCAGCCATGGCAGGCCTTTTCGGTTGGAATCGTGAGGAGTTCATGCCACTCGGCTGGACACAATCGACCGGGGTTGGTCCAAAAAGCTATTATTGAATAACTATGGTCAAAACCTGGAGCTCCAAACCCTTGTAGGTTGACCTGGCTGAGGGGTCAACCAAGGTCTCCTGGTCCTGACCCGCAGACACAATAATATACAGTAATGTGAGTGAATGTGTATAGGGCAGTGACTGTTCCAAGATGATCCAAGGAATGGCTTTCATTTGGCTGTTCCAGTGACTGTTCAAGGTGCGAGTGAATGTGTGAATGTTCTATTTCTTTTGGGGGTGACTTCAGAGCTGGTGAGGTCCATATCTTGGCCAAGAAGCTACAGGGAATGCCCTAACTTGCTCCTGAGTGGGTTGCTTCCGTGGGAAATGTTCTTCCTTCCCTGCTTCAAAGGGATCCCGTTTTGGCCTACAGGCCGTTTATACCAACTGAGGCGCTGAATATGTCCTAAGTTTTACTCTTCTTGGACATTGCTGCAGCGAACTGCAGCATCCAAACTTAATTGCATGTCCAAGCACCATCCAATCAGTGATCAAAATATATTTTCATTGTGCATCCCAATGCGTTTTTTGGGCGTTTGTTTGTTCGGGACATGGTGCATCGTTGGTGAAGACACGTGGCTGAGAGAGCATCGTTTCCACCCACCCAGGTACATCGGCGAGGCCCGCACGGCAGCTGCTGGGCCCGTTACCTCTCCCCGCTTCAGTGGACGAACGCCTTATCGGTGTGGGATTGACATGGATTGACCATTCTGGGTCCTTTGATGTCATCAAGCACTCCAGACTCTGTTCCTTTGTTCTTGTCTACCCGCTCAGTAGCCCTTGATCCACTGACACTTCGACTTGTTGGGTCGATTCACTTGGAACGATGATAGTGGGATCACTTTCGACCATTCTTTTGTGATGTGATGATTCGTGTGAGTGAGGAGAGCAGACTTTCTGATGAATAGAGACGCTTTCAAGACCAAAACAGATCACAGATATGCTCTCCCCCCCTTTCCCATCTAGCTCCCATGACCTCCGTCAGGTGGATGGCGATGGGCGCCCACACGGGGGTGGCTTTTGGTACGATAGCTCCTTCCACGGCGCAGCTTGACCAAACTGGTCGTGGCATTCTGGTCGAGGGACAAGACAGACGCAACTGGAGCACAGTACCTGCCCAAGCGACCTTGTAAGGCTCTAGATTTTTTGCAGTGATAGACCTTGGAATCTTATGGAATCTTGAGATGTGTTTATTTTCGAGATGGTTTCGAGGTATACAAATGGTTTTGAGTGACCATCAAATTGAGGGCGTTGAGGGTTTTAAACGCCAGTAACTGCAACAAGGGTTGCATCAGCTAGACGGGTTCTACCAGCATCAGCTGGCGTGGGTCACAACTAGAGATCTTTCCAAAAATTGTTTTGGCCGCATGCCAGAATAGCAATAAGACCCCACAAAGGTCCCCTGGTAAAAAGGAAAACTCCCCATTTTTTTGCACAGGTATTTAAAACGTCATTGATACTGCAACCATCTGCAACCTTACTTCATGGTGAACTTCAGACATGTTTATTTTGGCAGGGATGACACATAAGCCGGCCCCATGATGAAGACCTTGCATCAGTGGTTCTTCATGGTGGGGCTTATGTTCGACTTCATGATTCCATGGACGTGTCCCATCATGAACGGTTTTTGTTGTTCCATAAATATATGACAATGGATATGTCGTGAATCAACGTCCTGTTTCTTTTTCCGCAGCTGGTCCGAGAGAGGACTGGTCTTTCAGTTTATATAGTTTGGCTTAGTATACTTGTACCTAGAACACGTCCACACAGAATTGGTTAGTTTTTGTGGTGAATGTGGATGATATTTACATATATTTACATGTACCATTATATATTTCAGTTATTTATCATATGTGTAGTATATTATATATATACAGTATAAATACGAATTACAGTATATTAATGTAAATACATGGAGCATTTGGGTTAGATGGAGCTTGTGGATTTGTCCCTTTTCTCCTTTAGATGTAGGTCTTCGACAGCTGTAAAGACCCAGACAGTTTGTTTGGACTTTGTTGGTCTACAGGACAAGTACAGTACTGAAACAAGAAGTCAGTCAAGAAACAGATCCTTTATGCCTGTTTGGAATGATCAGCTGGCTTACAGGTGCTTACAAGCAAGATATGTATTATTCTATCATCCCATGTCCAATTTGGCCACTGTACCAGCTGCTTTTCAGCATACCAGGGTGTTCCACCCAAACATGGCCCGGAACCTTGGCCATTCCAGGAATGTTTACGTGGAGAGTGGGTGCATGGTGCTCCTGCGGGCATGTGGTTTTCCCGGGAGTACGGCACCGGTGCCCACTTCCTGTGGCTGGGAAGCACGTTTTCGCCGGATCCGCTTTGAGAGTTTGATCGGAGTCCGATTTGAGCGTTTGATCGGTGGGTCCGCTGCCCCCATCGCCCCATGTCGCCCGGGGGGGGTGTCGCCCCAAGGTTTCAACTCGGTGGTTGCCAATTGAATTTGATGAAATCCAGCTCTCGTCCCATCAGTTTCAGCTCTCGTAGGCTTGGAAGGAAGGCTTCCTGCATGGAGTGCTTGTAGATCATTGCATTTACGCTGGTTGAGTGGTGTATACATGGCATGGGAAACCTCTTTAGAGTCCAGGCCAGTTGAAGTTTTGTGGGATTCCCACATCAATTCCAGAAATTCCCTTGTTGCAGTAATTACTCTGAAGGCTAAGGCCTCAAAAGCCTGGCTGTCAACAGATGAGACTCACTATGAAATAAGTTCCCAGACCAACCTCATGAGTTGGGAAATGACACCTGGACCAAGGTCCCCGCCAGCTGATTCCCCCTCGCTAAGCCAGTATAGTCATTAGCCACGCGTGGCTCGATGTGCGCCGCAGAGAGCAGCCTCAGGAATTTTTAGGCTATGCCAGTAGTTTGGTAGCCATCTAAACATCAAACATACAGAGTTCAAAGTAACTTTGTGTATAACAACTTCCGCATGATGGATAACCCAGTTAATGCCTATGTCATCCTATAATCAATACAAGTATTGTCTAGGTAAGATCAATGAATCCGTATTTGGATCAAAGTGCAAAAACTGTGTGTTGTTCTTTTAATCCAACGTTGCGGTGCAGTGATCGAACACCCACTCACTCGGGTCTTCGACGTGCTCAACAACTGGATGTAAGTAAACCTGGTCGATGACCATTCCCAGACCATCCATGTATGAAATACTTATATGTATGCATACATTTTACCATCATTTAGGACCCTGATGCAGGTAGATATGCCGTATGCATCGATTTGTTGGGTTTCCCCGTTTTGTTTGTGATCTTTAGGAAGACGCTACTAGGAACAAAGGGCATCGCTACTAGGAGCAAGGACGCTACGAACGTAGCAAAGAGTTTCTCCGTCTTCCTAAGACCTCCGGTCTCGTTCGATCCTTCAGGCAGTGCGCTGTGGGCTACGCGACCTCCCGCTCAGACTGTCAGGAGGACAACGACCATCGAGCACGGGCAATGATCCACAAGCAGTCCCATACCGGTAACAAGGGCATTTCTACTATAGGAGCAAGAATCTACTAGCTGCTTTTGGCAACAAGAAGCTACTAGTAACAAGGTTTGAGCTGTATGATGTTGTATGCACATGGTCTATCATGCTAGTCCCTGACTTTCCTGGTTGTTAAATAGCACACATTGCATCTCGAACTTCCCAACTTCGAACCACGCCTCCAGCTCCAAGCCACCGCCAGGACTATTTGAACAAGTCTGCCTGGATTCCGAGCAAGGCCACGGAGCCGGTACACTTCATTTCTTCCGCACCTCCTGTTTGTGATTGGAGTCCTGCAAGGTTTGTAAGGCGACACAGACTGGTTTGATGAGACTGATCGGCTATTGAAACATTCCGCACTTTCCAGGCGGTTCCTGAAGCTACGAACGTAACAAGGGCCATTACTATGAACGTATTACTGGGACGCTACGAAGGTAGCAAAGGAGCTTGGTGACTGATGTCCGCTCCCTCACGGGGCTGAAGACTAGGAACAAGAAGCTACTAGGGGCTCCTGGCATCGCTACTAGGAGCAAGGACGCTACTAGGGGCTCCTGGCATCGCTACTAGGACCAAGAAGCTACTAGGAACAAGCTGCTTCAGGAGTCTGATGTCCGCTTTGGCCTGGGGCAAGTGGAGGCAAGGTGATGTCGACGATGCGGGGATGGGAGGAGGGCCGTTTCCACTGTGTTTTGTTTAATTAAGACCTTGCCACCCAAGTGGAGATAGCAGAGGCTCCAGGAGAAGACGTGTTTCGAATCTCCACTGCTAATCTCCGTGTGATTCTTGATTTTGTGGCCCCATTGCACGACTTCAACTCCAACAGGGCAGAAACCCCGTGGTCCAGACAGTCTGACAAGGCTTCCTTTGCCGGCGGCTTCTTCCCCTTTCTACCGGCCGTGAACTACCACAGCGCGATGTCCTCGGGGGAGGACCATTGGGCACCCGCAAAAGGGCTCCAGACGTTAGAAGGGCGCATGGCGAGGGTGGCCACCGGGTCCCCTTTTGTGCTGGTTTGCTGGACAACGAGGAAAAAAAACAACAACATGTTCTTATGCTGAAATAATTCGGACAAATAGGCATGATACTTTTTAGGATAGTGCGCTATAGTGTAGCAAAAATGCATGTAAGCTATTCAAGTGGACGCACAAATGGCAGCAATTTCTCCCAAGTTGTGGTTGGTTTGTCTTGTCACATGATTAGCACGTCTTATTGGCAAGCTTTGCGTAAAGCTTCGACTGAAGTGGTGGCAAATGAACACCTTGGGCCGTTCTTCTTTCCAAAGTGCCAGGACATGGTCGAGCAGCTCTTGCAATGCTACCGGAAACGGCAGGCGGTTGGATTCCCACCCGGAGATCATGTCAGTCTTAAGAATTTGCCGCTGTATCACTTGACTCTCCCCACAAGGGATCGCCGCTGGGAAGATGCATTGATTTCACACCAGACCTCAATGGATCCCAGGCAGTCACTCTATGTCACTCTAATTCTAAGGAACTCGAGTTTCTAATATATAGGTCTTTGGTTTTGGTCCAAACTCACGCATCGCATGCACAAAAACCGGACAGACGCTGTCAACTCATGTTCTCACTCCCCTCTCAACTGCGAACTCGCACCCATCACTCCTCATCCTCAACGTCGACGCTTCCGACCGGGGCGACCGGCTCGGCCGTTTGAGAGGCCCACGAGGAATCGACCACGTTCCGCCTGGAGGTGGTGCCGGAGGTCCGAGGACGAGAGGGCTGGTGGGTGGAGGTTGGGAGAGGGCTCGGCTGGGCTTCGCGTCCGATCGCTCCGTTCGTAGCGATGCCCTTTACTACTAGCTTCTTGATGCTTCAGATTCTTGTTACTAGAGAATGCCGGGAGCTACTAGTAGCGTCCTTTGCCTGTTTTGGGGATTCCTGTTTCGTTGGAGTTCCCACCGCTATACTTGCGCAAGATGGTCGAATCGACAGTGCTGGGACATCGGATCATCGCATCGGTGCCATCGCTTCGTTCAGGGGATCGTCCGAGAGATGGGGATGGATGACTGGTCCTCTGTCGCTTGGCAACATAAGCTGGCCGGAGCGGCGCAGGGGGAGCTGCGATCCATGGGAATTGCAGCAAGACGTGGAGGCATCATGATGTTCCTTGGGAATCGTTTCACTGGGAATCGTTTCACATGTAGTAACAAGAAGCTTTTTAGTATGTTCTTGAAGCGGTTCGTTTTCCCTTCAGCCTTCTTAGAGCCTTCGAGTTGTGAAAAAACTCTTGTCAGAACTTGGACACTTCAAGTTCGTGTGTTGTGACTCTCCACGTAACGAAGCTGGTTGGGAACTTCCACGATCCATCAAACAATCCTCACTGCAATGATTCACCATTGGAATCATTGGTCACTACTGTCAATTACTGGTCACCAGGTGAAGAATGGTGAAGATCTGCAATGGTCACTATTGAAGTCGAGATCTTCACCATTCTTCACCTGCAGGGTCTTATGGGGTCATACCTAGATGTCCTCGATCCATACAAGCAGACGAGTCTGCAAGTGCCGTATGGTATGGGGATGGGTCAAAACCTGTTTTGTGTGCCCCAACACCATGTAGTATACCTCCCACATAGGTCAACCGGTCGGTCTCCTGGTGCCACCCACAGCCATGTGTTTCTTGTCGATGTCGATGCCCGAGTCAAGGAAGAAGTTTCCGCAACCGGTTTCCGCCAAGCCCCATGACGTCTAGTACTCTACTAGGATACCTGCATCACAATGCAAAACATGTTTGTTTCACTTGTGGGCTCGACTTGGTTCAGTCGACATTGAAGTATACCATCTTGCAAAAAGGTCGTCCATGTATTGCCAGAATTGGACTGCAGGGATGTACGCGGATGTGGAACGAAATTGAGTGGATTGTGATTGTGCACCGTAAATTGTTTGGCTGGTTTAGCATGTCTCAAGTCTTAAGCAGAAATGGTACTCGTATTACAAACTTGACCATACATCATGGATCATTTTGCGTGCACTAATTTCACTTTAAATTTTGTAAAGCTTAAAAGCAGAGGGAGAATGAGTAAGGAAGAAAAGTCAACCATGAATGTTTTATCAGAATGTGGGGTGATCACACCTTCAACTGTGTTTCCAAAGTGAGCGTTAAGGCCTGAATCCTTACAAATAGCATGACTTCGAACTAGAAAAACAAACACGCAGCTCCAAGAAGCTCGAAATGAAGATGACACTATGACACAGGTCATCAGATCACAGTGGATGGGCACTTGCAGAACAGTGCTGCCTGCTTGATCAATACTGGTGAGATAGGTCAAATGTCGGATGATCATCGATCATCCCGGACATCGAACATGCTGCCCCGAGGTGCCGATCCATTTCCCAGAAGGCGGACGTCGATGTGAGTCGAAAAGGATCAGTAAACGAATGGTGGGTTGTTTTTTTGGGGCCTAAACAACAGCATTATATAAACATTGGGTTTGTCCTATTACCATCTATTACCTGTAACAGTCAGAAAACAATTATTACCCATTTTTGAACAAGGCCTGCAACCTAACCATGGTCATCCCCTGTTACAGGTATTAGGATAGACCCAATATAAACATGTTAACTGTTAAAGCCGGTGTTGATCCTGTTGGTGCCGATCCTCAGAACTCACAGGGACCGGGGGAGACCGGTCTGGGTCACTGGAGGAGGTGCTTTTGGATCGAAACAGCTTCCTGGGGATGGAAACAGCCTCTCGGGAAGGAAGACATGTCGACATGACGAGTCAATGAGTGCCTGGAATCAGACAAGAAAATAGCAGTTTCAATGGTGGTGCATGCAAGATACCATGTGTGTTTGTTCATACCTTCAATGATCAGCAGCTCGCAGAGGGGTAAGTTGGTATGGCTATTGGTAGCATCAATGGCTCACTGGAAGGTCCCAAGGATTCCTCGCCCCAAAAGTATTTTTGAGAGACAATAGGAAGAACACCTTTCATTCTCAACCATATCAACCAACTCCCACGTGCACTGCTTTTTGTATGGTACGTTCCATCGTCTTCGTTCGAGGTGACAACACGGGCTTTGTGGTGGCCTCCTCCATCACTCGCGTGCGGTCCCTACGGCCGGACGCTGAGGCAGGGAGCGGAACATTCTGGGCCAAATCAAGGCGTTTCGAAGGGTGCCTGTTGGGGATTTGGGGGTGAAGTGATGGTGAGATATGGTGAGAACGGGGAGTTCACATGTTTCGTTCACTTTCTCCTTGCCTCGGGCTTGGTTTTCAGGTTGTTTATCATTGTCCAACGCAAGGCTCTATCTGAAAATCATCTGTTTACGTTGAGTGGTGGCTTTTGGAGGTCTTCAATCCCAAGCCTAAGCGATATGATCGGCCAGATGATACTCATCAACGGATCTTCACCAGTTTGACCTGGGGGCTGACAGACCTGAGCTGACCCCAAGTGACTGCTCTTGAAGACGGTGCACTGGTAGCTCTGTATGCCCTGAACGTCAGGCTTTGGTGTTCATCCACGGTTTCAACTGCGACCTGGCCACGGCCTTGGGCCGCGTGGTCGGGAGACCCAGGAAGCGACCGTCTTAGAAGACAATGTTTTTGGGCACTGCGATACCGCGGGCCCTCAATCTTCAAATCTCTTTACCAGTTTTTGGAGTTCACTGCATTTGATTTGCATCGTTCCGGGCATATATACAGTAATACACCTTTGTTTTCATCTAAATATAGTCGAGCCAAGTCTTGCAGCGTCATGCTGCTGAGCCATCTCAGCGCGACCAATTTCGTTGATAGAGCCGCTGCAGGTCAGTTTTGGTTTGCAAAGCCTCAAGCCTTCACTTCGACCGTCTCTCCGCCCCAGCGTTCAGCCTGTTTCGTTCAGGGCTGTGGAACACAGCTCGGGGACCGGAGTCTTGGTTGATGATGGGCAGTGTCTTCCCACGTGGTGCAGGTTCGATCACGCCATATTTTTCCAAATATAGATAGCTGGATGCCAGCAGCTGCACCAGGTAAGATCCGAATATCTCAGCTTGGAAGTAGACCTCTAAACAAGTATATTGTGCATAGTATGTATTTCGTTACAGATGCCTCACTTCCAGGATTTCGAGCTTTTGCTGCTCACCAGCTTATGAATCGAGATTTGAGGTGAGGGCCTTCACATAGTTACATATGTCAGTGCCTCTAAGTGGTGTCCGAGCAACCGAGGCAAAAGCTGTTCAATGATAACATCGATGTGACATCTGGCTAAATTATCACGAATCAAACCCATATTTCTTCATGAAAGGCCAAGTTCAGGTTTGGCAGGATGTTTTTTTGTTTGTGTGTGAGCTTCTTAAGATATTTAGAGATGTCGCATGGGCACTTGGACGGACCGTGTATCGCATTTATGGTGTTTGCCAACTACCTGCATTTCAACCACAGCTCTCGGCTGGGTCAGCACGACAGCTCATCGGTGCTTGCTCTTGTCACGATGCAACGGGCAATGCAGCATGGCTGCTCCATGGATGCCACGAGCATCGCAGCCATGGAGCGGTTGAGCCGGAAGAAACCAGGCTGGTGAAGGTATGAGGGTTTCAGAGGTTGACGTGCTATCGTCTTTCAACTGTCATGCAAGAGTCTGATCAATTTGAGCAGGAAAAGCGTGCAGCAGGGGCAGGTTGAGAAATGGATGGCAGCCAGTCAAAGTCTTTGCTTGCTTGCCAGCATCAGTTCTATCGTTTTAGAGTTTGTTGTATAGTACGTGATGATGTGCCTCGAACTAGTAACTAGACATACAAAAATACCCTACTGCAGGTAATGCTCGCACAGTGCTATGAGTTTGTGGGTACGTAGCTGATGGGTTGAGGAGACCTTAACCACTGGTCTCAAGTTCTTTCCCTTCACTTCGTTGTTTTGAGCTCCGGAATGGGGTAGCGGTTTTCCGATGCGATCGGATGTGGAGAACCCTGGAGCACATACTACTGATTAGAATGACTTTCAAGCATCCTGACCTGGTGTCAGTCATTGCTGCCATCAGGTGTTTTTTTCACCCCTGCAACAACACTAGCCAAATCCTCTCAATTCAGAACGTAGATTGGTTGCTCGGCAGACCCTTAGGCACAGGTGCTTGTTGATTTATTGTGGACCATCGAGAATAGGTAACTAGTCATGCGGTTTGTTGTTTGGTGCATTTGGGGTGTTTTGATTGAGTAGAGTTCCAGGTTCCATATGTCAATGCCCTTGTTTGCAGGGTTCACTGGTCTCACTCTGCAATATAAAGTTACAAGACAATGAGATCTTGTCCAACACATTTATTGACTTACTTGTACTGTTAATTTTGCAACATGCGAAACTGGCCCTGTTTTTTGGCTCAATGGATGTCACCTTAGTGGTTTGGAGATTAGAAAATCAAATTGCTATTTGCAAGACTCGTGTTGTTACTGTAATATGTCACCAACATGTTCCACCGGAACATTTTGGCTCAAGTGAAAGGCCAGCATTGACCTGCAATGAAATCTGAAAAAAGCCTGTATATAGTTCATTCTTCCGATCTTGAACATTGCCATGGCGTTCGCAACTAGGATTGCATATGCCGGAGGACCCGGACTGGCGGTACCCCCCTCACCCTTACATTTGGTGCACCTTGGGAGCCACCACACCAACCCTTTGCTCACCCAGTATTATAATATTTGGCCCCTCACGTTTGAGTTTGCTGGGGAATAGCCCGCCCAGCACCACCTGGAAGAGCCGGCAAGCTGAAATCACTACACCTCAGCAGCAGACTTTGCGAGAGAGATCCGCAAAGCCTTTGAGGAAGAGGTGCCGTTGGCAAGTGTCCGGCTGACTATTGTCCAGACCAGCCGACCTTTGGCATCGATGAAGGAGAAAGTCGGTACCATCTACGATGGAGCAAAGGCCAAGCAGCAGACCGTGGAACGCACCACAGCTTCTACAGATCCACAGACAAGCCTCACGAGACCCCACTCCAGTGCTGCAAGTTGCCAACCACTAACAGGGGCTTGCTCATACCTGACGTGACCAAGGCCTGGGGCTTTGTGTTCGTAGGTGGCGCTTGTTGTCCCTTCCATGCTGCGGGCATTCTTGGTGCCGTAACCATGCTTGCGTTTGGAAGAACGCCGCTCACTTGCAAAAAGATTCCTCTTGCTGAGGACAGCTCCAGGCTGGATTTGTGATCCGTCCCAGCATCACGAGAGAACACATCAAGGTGATGGAGCTAGATCTTAAGGAATTCGCCATCGAGGGTGAGACCTTCTTGGCCACTATGGGACACATCCAATGGCATGCTGCCCGTTGGTGGGCGTGGAAGATGGCGCTGTCGGCCAAAGGTGGTCTGCAAGCTGGCTTGCAACTCTTATTGCAACCGTTTGAGCACCCTCTCTACCTTCTCTATACCTCCCCAAGTCAAAATCCTCATGAAGAAAGTGCGTGCAAAAAAGGACCTACAGAGCACCTCTATCAATCTATGTCGCGTTCCTGCTATAGGACGCTGTTCCCACAGCCCGTTTGTCGGTGGATGCTTGTCGATGGTTTAAGATTGGCCCACTCCTTGACCCAGAAATTCTGCAAACAGCGTATACTTTCTGGCCGTCTAATTTGCTTGTCAAATGACGTCAATGCAGGGTTAGCCTGCTGGTTGGTCGCGACATTTCACCTTTCCTCCATCGCAACCATCCATATGAAACTTGTCTTGGTGCTTCACCGCGAAGGGTGCATACTGGCACACAGCCACATCCCTGGTCCCTGGCGACTTCAACAAACGGACCTTGCGCATCCTGACTTCCAAAAACATCTTGCTACAAATCAGTTTCCTTGCTATTTTGATCCTCTCACAGATGTTTACTGTAACTCTCCCGCTTTTCAGGGCCACTTTAAGCCTCACAGAACCCAAGATCCCGTGGCCCTTGATTTCTCCCCTATCCATCACCAGCTCTCCCAACTATATACAGACCTAGCCCACCATGGTCCCGTGACCGGATCCTGTGTGTGACCTTCTGACCGTTGTTTGATGCCCCGCTCACCTCCAAACAGCGTTTCCAGCCAGGATGAAAATATTGCCTGGCTCTTGATATCGCTGACTTAGAGGTTGCCATATAGCCTTGGTATCGTTGACTTCGAGGTTGCCATAGACAACCGGGGGTATGGTCCAATCTGGGTCGGGTGAAGAGGCCCGTGGTTTGAGGCCGGTGTGAGGCCCGTGGGCGGGCCCGCGAAATGTGGCCCGTGGGGCCTGTGGAGCCCGCGGGTTAAGCGACGATCGGACAGTGTCTGGAATGACTTCGAGGTCATACAGCTGTAGCAAACCCCTGTCCACCTGAGCTTCTGCACTTGGAATGGGACCTTGGATCAGAGAAATGCCTGATGTGTTGGCAACCACCCATTGTCGCAACAAGGCAGCAAACTCTTCTGTGTAATTAGTCTGGAAGTAAGTGTCCGAAAAATTTGGAAACAGACACGCAAAGCACGTTACCGTCAACGGGATTGACCATCACCGCAACAAGGGATGCTTTGTGCGCTGCACACCTCCACATAATGAGCCGGTAAGTCACGCATCTCCGAAAGGAAGAGATTTCCTTGCATATAGTGAAGAACAATGCGACAAGCTGCCCCGTTGGTATTGATAGAGTCTCCCATCAGCGCATGTAGCACATTGTAGCACTGTGGGCAATTCGTCGTGCACTCTTCGGCGCTCAGCAAGGCAGCCAATATCCCGTTCAGAGCTACACTGATTGAAGTTGCCACGACCTCTTTGGTCTTGTTTTTGAGCGGCTGCAACTCTACATACCAAGGCATCCAAACCAAGGATTTGAACTGAGTGTTTCTGAATTTTGGAACGCTTCTGTAGTGACAACTTGGGAGCATTTCACGGCAGAATGCAGTCTTCGGAACTCTCCAGCGTAGCGGTATAGCTGCGCATTCTCATGTCGGCTCCATCGTGGACATGGGTAATTACGATAGACAAACTTTTCAGCGCACGCTCGACTAAAGGGGTAGTGTAGCTGCTTGGCAGCTAGTTTATTGATTTGCTCCACAAAGGCCTCCCGGATGTTACCAACCTTCGGGTGGCTGATCACTTGCTCCCCGCTCAGTGCATGTTCATTGAGCAACGTTGCCAAATTTCTCAAAGGTAACGTTGGATCTGCCAGCATCACCCGTAATATTCAGAGCGGGAGAGCATACCATACTTGTTTTTGTTTCCTTTATGTTCTGCTTTTGTTTCAACAATCTGCCCATCTTTTTCTTGTTGTATTTCAGAGAGCTCTCCAATTGAGCCCTAGTTTTTGTTCACCTGTCGAGTTCTAGAATGGGCCGGTTCGTCTTGCACATCAAAATTCACCAGATTCTCTACATTGGACATTACACTGGTATGATCTTCTCATGTCAGTGTTGCCTTAAATTGCACCCAGTGGCGATGAAGACATTTGGCCTCTCAACTATAACAGGCGCAGCATGTCGCAGCCATGGCAGGCCCATGGAACTTCCCACCGCCGCAGCGCATCCGCTGAGCTTTTAAGTTATATGACAACGCGGACACCATACCTCTGGAGCCCGTGGCGGCCTGT